GCTGTACTGTGGGCCTCAGTGGCAGTGCTGGAGGCACATCTAGGGAAAGGCGTTCTCTCTCCCCCTTCTCTTGTAATCTGTGGAGGGTGTCCTCCTGCTGGTGACTGAGCCAGACGTGAGTGGCAGCATTGTCTCATTCTTAACAAAATTTAGGGAGTGACTCTGTGTATGTGTGTGTGTGTGTGTGTTTTGAGACGGAGTCTTGCTCTGTTGCCCAGGCTGGAGTGCAGTGGCAGACCTTGGCTCACTACAAGCTCCGCCTGCCGGGTTCATGCCCTCCTCCTGCCTCAGTCTCCCGAGTAGTTGGGACTACAGGTGTCCACCACCATGCCCGGCTAATTTTGTGTTTGTATTTTTAGTAGGGACGGGGTTTCACAGTGTTAGCCAGCGTGGTCTTGATCTCCTGACCTCGTGATCTGTCCACCGTGGTCTCCCAAAGTGCTAGGATTACAGGCGTGAGCCACCGCGCCTGGCCCTTTTTTCCTTGTTTTTTGTTGTGATAGTCGAACTTTTTCAAATTTCATGAATTTGGGAGGGGATAAAAGGTATCATAGGTCTTCTAATTGCTGCACCTGTTCTTTTTTTTAAGTCTGTATTTTTTTTTTTCATCTTGTTCCTCATTTTTTCTTGCTGCTGTTTCTATTTCATGTTACTATTCTTGTTTCTTCTCGTTTTGTTTTCTTTATGCCAACCCAGTGGCCTTAACAAACAAGCCAAAATTGTCACTGTGTTGTGTTTTAAAATAACTGGTGCCTTACTGTGTTTTAGGGATGAGGAAAATAATCAGTTGTACAATTAGTTACTTGAATAGCTATGCTTTCATGATCGTGTTAAACTTTTTATGCCTAGCGTTCCATTATTGGAATGCTAAGCATGAGGGAGTTACTTACATCCTACTGGTGAAGGTCATTGACAAGGTCTGATTTTTCACTCATGCAAAAATACAACTGTATACACTGTATACAGTTTGTAGTCTTTTATTCCTCCCCTCCTCCCACTCTTTCTCCCAAGTCCCCAAAGTCCGTTGTAGTATTCTAATGCCTTTGCATCCTCATAGCTTGGCTTCCAGTTACAAGCGAGAGCATACGATGTTTGCTTTTCCATTCTTAACGTTACTTCACTTAGAATAATAGTCTCTGATCCCATCCAGGTTGCCATGAATGCCATTATTTTTTTCGTTTTGATGGCTGAATAGTATTCCATAAGATACATATATATATGTGTGTGTATATGTATGTATATCACAATTTCTTAATCTACTCACTGATGGGTATTTGGGCTGGTTACATACTTTTGCTATTGTGAATTGTGCTGTTACAAACATATGAGTGCAAGCATCTTTTCTTTTCTCCTTTGGGTAGATACCCAGTAATGGAATTGCTGAATTAAATGGTAGTTCTACTTTTAGTTCTTTAAGAAACGTCCACACTGTTTACCGTGGTGGCTGTACTAGTTTACATTCCAACTAGCAATATAAAAGTGTTCCCTTTTCACCAAATGCCCACCAATATTTTTTATTTTTTGATGTTTTGATTATGGCCATTCTTGTAGGAGTAAGGTGGCATGGCATTGTGGGTTTTCTTTTTTCTTTTTTTTGAGATGGAGTCCGCTCTGTCGCCAGGCTGGAATGCAGTGGTACAACCTTGGCTTACTGCAGCTTCCGCCTCCCAGATTCGAGTGATTCTCCTGGCTCAGCCTCCTGAGTAGCTGGGACTAAGGTGCCCGCCACCATGCCCGGCTAATTTTTGTATTTTTAGTACAGACGGGGTTTCACCATGTTGGCCAGCGTGGTCTCGATCTCTTGACCTCGTGATCCACCTGCCTCAGTCTCCCAAAGTGCTGGGATTTCAGGCGTGAGCCACCACTCCCGACCCGACATTGTGGTTTTGATTTACGTTTCCCTGATCATTAGTGATGATGACCATTTTTTCATGTTTGTTGGACATTTTTTATGTCTCCTTTTCAGAATTTCTATTCAAGTCCTTAGTTCCTTACTTGAAGGGATTAGTTTTTTTCCTGCTAATTTGAGTACCTTGTAGATTCTGGATATTAGTCCTTTCTCAGATGTATAGATTGTGAAGATTTTCTCCCTTTCTGTGGGTTGTCTGTATACTCTGCTAATTGTTTCTTTTGCTGTGCCGAAACTTGTTGGTTTAATTCTTACCTATTTATCTTCATTTTGTTGTCGTGCTTGCTTTTGGGTTCTTCGTCATGAAGTCTCTGCCTAAGCCAATGTGTAGAAGGGTTTTTCCAATGTTATCTTCTAGAATTTTTATGGTTTCAGGTCTCAGATTTTTTTTTTTTTTGAGACGGAGTCTTGCTCTGTGCCCCGGACTGGAGTGCAGTGGTGCGATCTCAGCTCACTGCAAGCTCCGCCTCCCGGGTTTACACCATTCTCCTGCCTCAGCCTCCCGAGTAGCTGGGACTACAGGCGCCTGCCACCAGGCCCGGCTAATTTTCTTGTATTTTTAGTAGAGACGGGGTTTCACCGTGTTAGCCAGGATGGTCTCGATCTGACCTTGTGATCCGCCCGTCTTGGCCTCCCAAAGTGCTGGGATTATAGGCTTGAGCCACTGCGCCCGGCCCCAGGTCTCAGATTTAAGTTGACTTTCGTATAAGGTTCGAGATGGGGACCCAGTTTCATTTCTTGGCATGTGGCTTGCCAATTATCCAAGCACCGTATGTTGAATAGGGTGTCCTTTCCCCACTTTTGTGTTTTTGCTTGCTTTGTTAAAGACCAGTTGGCTGTAAGTATTTGGATTTCTGAGTTCTCTATTCTGTTCAATTGGTCTATGTGCTTATTTTTATACCAGTACCATGCTGTTTTGCTGACTATGACTTTATAGTAGATTGAAGCCAGGTAATGCAGTGCTTCCAGATATGTTCTTTCTGCTTAGTCTTGCTTTGGCTATGTGGTCTCTTTTTTGATTCCACATGAATTTTATAATTATCAGGAGCCACTGGGTGCTGCGACAGCTTCAGGATAACTTGAGGGCACATCCTGGGGAAGAAGCATCTCCTGTCCATGGCGCTGACTGCTGAGGATAGCAGTTCGGTGTGGCTTCTCCATGGCCCAGCTTCTTTAGGGTATTTTTCTTTCATGGTGAGTATAGAAGCTTTCATTTTCTGGAATGTTCTGTGTATTTCTGCTAGATTCTCCTTTTTTTTCTCTCTTGATACCTTAGCATTAATTTTACAGTAGTACTTATTCCCTGAGCGCTTTTGAGGTTGGAATGTGTAGGCGGCTTTAGGGCTGTTTTTGAGGGAGACTCCCCATGTAGATGGAGAGAGAGGAAGGCGCTGGCTGTGGGAGTAAGGGGGAGCCCGGCCCAGGTGGGGCGTTGGGGCCAGGCCACAGTTTGGCTGCCTCGCTTTCAAGCCTCAGGTGGAAGGAAAGGATCCAACTTAAACTCCAGGGTTTGCTGATTTTTAAATTATTTTTATTTTTTTGGAGACACGGTCTTGCCTTGTTGCCCAGGCTGGAGTGCAGTGGTGGATCTCAGCTCACTGCAACCTCCATTTACTGGGCTCAAGGGATTCTCCAGCCTCAGCCTCTCCAGTATCTGGGCCTGTGCCCCATGCCCACCTATTTTTTTTTTTTATTTTTTTGTATTTTTGGTAGCGACGGGGTTTCGCCACATTGCCTAGGCTTGTCTCAAACTTCTGAGCTCAAAGTAATCCTCCCGCCTCAACTTGCCCAAATACTGGGATTACAGGCATTAACGACTATGCCCGGTCTGCTGAATTTTAAAATCTGTGTCCCTGCTGTTGGGACATAGCGGTCACTTTTCTCCACTCCCTGTAGTGCCTGCCTAACTCTGTCCCTCTAGTCATGGCCACCTGACCGGGGGAAGGGACCTTGTATATAGTTCAATGTTCTCTTTCAGAAATGTCTATTCAGGGTCTCTGCTCAGTTTTGGGTGAATCACTGTTTTTTTTGTTGCTACTTAGTACGTTAATGTGTTGCATATTTTCTATAACAACCCCCGTTAGCCAATATGTGATTCCTCAAAACGTTCTCCCAGCCTTTCTCTTTGGGTTCATTGCTTCCTTTTCCTTGCAAAAACTTCTCACTTTGATACAGCCATGCATGTTTTCTTACAGCCAGGCATGAAGGCTCATGCCTGTAATCCAAGCACTTTGCAAGGCCGAGGTGGGATCACTGGAGCCAAAGAATTTGAGACCAGCCTAGGCAACGTGGCAAAATTTCATTTCTACAAAAAATACAAAAAAATTAGCCAGGCGTGGTGGTATGTGCCTATTCAGGAGGCAGAGGTAGGAGGATCACTTGTGCTGGGGAGGTCAAGGCTGCAGTGAGCCATGATCATGCCACCGCACTCCAGCCTAAGTGACAGAGTCCCGTGTAGTTATCACTTCTATGATTCCCTCCAATTTTCTAACAATTTTTTTTGAGACAGTCTCATACTCCTACCCAGGCTGGAGCACAGCGGCATATCAGGGATTGTGAGTCCTCCAACTTAGTTTCTGTTTCTCAGGATTCCTTAGACATTCCGGGCCATTTGTGGTTTTATATGACCATTAGCATTGTGTATTCACATTTCTTAAATTTCTGTGTATAATAAAGTATATAATTACAGAGTATGCTGGGACTGTTGTTCCTCTGGGATATTTTGATTCATGTATATTTTTAGTAATGATCAAATCAGGGTGCTTGCCACATCTGTTCTCTCACACAGGTATTCTTCTTTTGTGAGAACATTGGAATTGCTCCATTCTAGCTTTTTTGAAAAATACAGTATTTTGTTAACCACACTTAGCCAGCTGTGAGCTGTGGTATAGAGAACAAGAATGTATCTGTCCCAACTAACTGCAACTTTGTTTCCATAACCAATCCTCCCATTCCCTCCTTTCCCTCTCCTCAGAAAACCACTACTGTGCCTTCTACTTATGGAAGGCAAAGTTTTCTGGATTCCATATAACTGAGATGAATCTGTGCTTGTTTTTCTATGCCTGGCTTATTTTATTTAACATGTTTTCCAGGTTCATTCATATGGCTCCAAATGAAAATTACGTTGTTGTAGATGGAGAGTACTGCGTTGTACAGATACACTGCAGTGTCTTCATTCCTTCATCTGTGGATGGAAAGGTAGGTTGATTCCATACCTTCTGTATTGTAAATAGTGTCATGAAACATGGGAAGGCAGGTAACTTCTTAAGGTACTGCTTTCCTTGGCTTTAGATGCATATGCAGTGTGAGGAATACCTCAACTTTTTCACAGTATATTCACTAATTCACATTGGCATCAATAGCGTATCAGAGTTTCCCTTTCTGTAAGTCTGCACTGGCTGCTACCTTCCAAAAATGCTATTGCTGTTTTGGTGATATTCATTCTCAGTGGAGTTTGATGGTATCTGATACCGGGGTGTGATTCTGACTTACATGTTTGGAGTGATTAGTGATGTGGAGAATCTTTAGTTTCACCTGTGGATCAGTTTCGTGTCCTTTGCAGAAGAGGTTGTGCAGGTCCTTTGCATATTTTTAGCTTGTGTATTAATCTTTTCCCCACTTGGTAGCTTTAGTGCTTGAATATGTTAAATAACAACTCCTTCCAAAATTACGATTTCCCACAATTTTAGCCCAATCATTCTTTCCACCAAGGTAAGATGCTTTCTCTTTGGGTTCATTATTTTCTCCCCAGTGCAGAAGCTCTAAAGTGTTTGTCTCACAGGTTTATATTTGCTTTTGTCAGCAGGGATTTCTGTGTCCAATCAGAGAAAAAAAGAGATCACAAAGTCATTGTATCGTCTATGGGTATTTTCACCATAAGTGAGAGCATGTGGTGTTTGGTTTTCTGTTCTTTCCTTAGTTTGCTTATCATAGTGACCTGCAGCTCCATCCTTGTTGCTCTCAAGGACATGAATTTTTTTAAACTATGTAGGATGTTGTGGTATCTATGTACAGCACTTTTAAAACATCTGATCAACTGTTAAGGGGGAACATAGATGGATGTTATTTTATATTTCCATGTGAATAGCACTTCCAAGAACATACCCATGCCTGTGTCATTTTGAAAGAAGGATTTATGATTCTTTATGTGTAGATACCCAGTTATGCAATTGCTCATTTGGATGGTAGTTCTAAGTTCTTTAAGGAACCTCTAAACCACTTCTCATAGCGTGAGAACTAGTTTTTATTCCCACCGAGAGAGTAGCAGTATTTGCTTTCCTCCGCTGCTTTGTTACCATGTAAATGTTTGGACTTAGGACAAGTGGCCATTCTGACCGACGTGAGACGGTATCTCCGTGTGCATGTGAGTTACATTTCTCTGATGATGAGTGATGTCGAGGTGTTTGTTCATGTTCTCTACCCATTGCTTGAATGGTTTATTTGTTTTTCTGCCTCTTGATTTTTTTCAAGGTCATGTTAGAGTCTGACTATTAGACCTTGCTGAGAAGCATAGTTGGGGAACATTTTCTCCCATCCCGTAGGCTGTGTGTTTACTGCGCTGGTGATTTATTTTGCTATCTGGCAGTGTTACAGTTTCCTAGGCCCAACTTGTCCTTTTGGTTTTTCTTGCTGCATTTTGTCTAAATGCTTTCCAAAGCCTGTATTGAGAAAGATATGTCCGAGGTTTCCTTGTAGGGACTTTCATAGTTTGAGATCTTGTACTGAAATCTTTCATTCACCTTGGGTTAGTTTTTGCATCTGATGAGAGTTAAGGCTCCAGTGTTACTCCTCTGCATGTGGCTAGGCACCTAGCCCAGTGCCCTTCATTGCAGAGTGAGCCTTTTGTCTATCTGAGCTTTGGAGTTTCAGGACATTTTGTGGTCCCATGGGAATTTTAGCATTGTTTCTCTATGTTGCTTTCAAGAAACAAGATTAGCTCTGTCCTAAAGATGTACAACTAGAGGGCAGAGTGGGACATTTGGGGCCGCGCATGCATCGTATAGGGATGAAATCAGGGTATTTAGTGTCATTTTTTGCCTTGTAGAGTTTTCATATATTTGAGTGAGGAGAGCGAGAACCCTCCTTTCTGGCTGTCTTGAAAACTACCCTTTGGTAAAGTTTTCCCTAATCATCCTGCTGAGGAATAGAACAGCAAGTTTCATTCCTCTTAATGCAACGTGTCACTTTGTACCTGTTTCCTATGCCCACCCATGCCCAGCCTTCTGTTCCAACCCTGGCAAGTCCTATGGTGCTTTGTAGGTCTGTGTGAGATAAAGTTTCCTAGATTCTTCATGAAGGAGGTGATGCGAGGTTTGTCTTTCCCTGCCTAGGGTGTTTCATTTACCATGATGTCTTCCAGGTTCCACCATGTTGGTGCGGATTACCTGATTGCAGTACCCGTGTCTGGGTGAAGAGGATCCGGTTGTGACTGGATGCTGCAGTTTCTGAATCCCATCCTCTGTGGGTGGACAGGTAGGTTGATTCCTTATCTTGGCTATTGTGACTGGTGCCACAGTCAGCGTGGGAAGGCAGATACGTCTTCCGTGTACTGATTTTGTATGATTCCAGTAGCAGCACAGCTCAGTGAGAAATGGTCGTTGTATTTTTAGTTTTCTGAGGAACCTCCAAGTGCTCTGTAGTGTGAGTACTAATTTACCTGTTAACAGCTGTGGATAAGAGAGCTCCCTCTTCTCTGGAAATTGACAGCAGCATTTGTGGTTTCCCTTCTTTGGAGATACACGAAGGGCTTTGTAATACTCCCTGCATCGAGGGGGACACAGTATCAGAGTCTTGTTCTGATTTTCATTTTTGCCATGATTAATGATGTTAACCAGGCATTCACAGACAGACTTGTTTTCAGTTTTATATGTTCTTTGCAGAAAAGTGTCTCTGTCCAGTTTTGGTTTGGTAGTTAATTTCTGTTTTCTGGTGTTTTTTGCTGGTTAATAATGTTACTTACACCTTTTCCAAGAAATGCCTCATCGGCAGTGTTTTTCTCCAAACCCTTATTGTCATCCTTCGTATGTTTCTTTCTTTTTATTCATATTTTTCATTCTTTCTTGCCCAGAAGCCACGTGGTCTGGTGCAGTTTCAGGTGCGTGCAGCGTTCTGGTTTTCCCTTAACACTGGTGACTGATGAAGTTAAAGAAATTCACTAGCATGTCAATCTGTTGCCAGTGAGTTTTGGTTGTTGGTTGTTTGTATTCTTTTTTGTCTTTATTTATTTATTTTTTTTATTTTCCTTTTTGCAAACCATGAGCACAGATCCAGGTTGACCCTGGTATCTGCATACTATATGCTTTCTTCCTAGAGAGTGACTTTTTCAAGTTCTGGGTGTAGGTCTTTCATTCGTGTTGAATGAATTATTGTGAATTTTGCACAATAAGGACCCTATGTTGTTACTTGCGTAGGGATATCCAGTTCCCCAAATGCTGTGTTGGGCAGACTCTCCCTTTCCAGGGTGACTTTTGTGGTTCTTTTCAAACATGTGCTTATTCTATGTTGTGAAAGGAAGATATCTTGGTGCCTCAAAATCACTAAGGAAAACTCAGGCTGGAAACTGCTTAGGGCTATCTTGCCTCCCATTCTATTCAGAGTCACTCCTCTGCTCACTGAGATAGACGCAGCATATCTGATTGCCTCCTTTGGAGAAGCTAACCAAAAACTCTAAGTAATGTAATTATTTGTGTATCACTTATCCGTGACCTTGAAGCTCCCTCCCTGCTTCCAGTCTTCCTGTCTTTGCTTAAAGTTGTTCAGCCTTTCCAGAACGAACCTATGTACTTCTTAACGTATATTGATTGATGTCTCATGTCTCTCTAAAATGTATAAAATGAAACTGCCCTGGCCACGTTGGGCACATGTTGTCATGACTTTCTGATGCTTTGTCACGAATGTGTCCTCAACCTTGGCAAAATAAACTTTCTAAAATTAACAGACCTGTTTCAGATTTTCTGGGTTCACTTTTTGGTAACCACGAGGGGATTCTGAGTGGAGATTCTCCTGACCTTTGGCAAGTCTCCTGTCAGTGCTTTGGGACCAGCGTGAGCTCACTTTATGACCCAAACCAATAGGACAATTTGCTGAGGTCTGAGAGCACCCCCTCCAGAGAATTCCTCATCTCCCAAAATTTGGTCAAGATCTAAAGTTTATTTTGCTGTACAACTCCTTTTTTTTTCTTTTTTTTTTTTTTGGAATTTTGCTTGCGTCCATCAAGAAGACAAGTTTTTATACTTCCGTGACGTTGGAAGGCAGGCGCCTCCTTTGTGGAGTTTGAGTTCACTTCTTCTAATAGGCAAGTTTTTTTTCTCCTGCTTCTAGGATGGTAGAGAGCAGTTTACAGCCTGAGACCCATTACTAAGTAAGAAGCTGGTTTTGGATTCTGTCTTGCAAATTCCTTTTAAAGAATAAAGTTAACATTTAACAACCAGCCGGTGTTAATTTCTGCTTACCCTTAGAGTGCTCAGGTACCATAATTTGTGTGACCATTGGCAGTTTAGCAGCATTTTGTCCTAGCTGAAATATGGTGATGAGATTAAAAGAGTTTTGTTTAAAGGAACACAATTGTGTAGAAGTCACCTTAATTAAAAGGGTAACATCCAGATGTGTGTGCAAGTGTGTATTTGAAAGGCCTTCATGTTTTTGGTTTTTCTGTTTGTTTCACTCTCCTAAGACCTTGTCTTTTTTTTTGTTGTTGAGCAAACGTGTTTATTTTTGTCTTGTCAGTTGACTGAATTTTGTTTTCACCTGATTTTTTTTTTGACTGAAATAGTTATTGCAACAGAGACCACTCTTGGGTTTTGAAGGAAGAATGTAGTTTAATTTTATGTTTAATTTGACTCAGAAAAATATTAGTGTCTCCCTCTAGCACCACTAGACTTTTTCTTTCTGTACTTTATGAAGTAAATTTGGCTATTTGATTTTCACCTGAGTTGTTTCCTTTAATGTTCAAATTTCAGGCTATTAGTTGACAACTGCCTAGGGTTGTGAAACAAGTTATCAAGAATCTGAAAGTCTAAGACAGAAAAAAAAAAAAGGAGGGGAGTCTTTAAATCTATAAAATGTACTGTAACAGCCCAATGGGTTTACCTTGCCTGCTGCCTAGACAGAACCGATTCATCAAGAGGAATTGCAGTGGAGAAAGAGTAATTCACACAGAGCTGGTTGTGTGGCACAACAAAGCTTATTATGCAACTCGGTCTCCCTGAGCATTCGGGGATCAGAGTTTTTAAAGATAACTAGGTGGGTAGGGGCTTGGGACATGGGGAGTGCTGATGAGTCAGGTTGGAGATGGAATCATAGGGGGTTGAAGTTGGGTTTTCTTGCTGTCTTCCATTTATGGGTGTGATGGCACAACTGGTTGGGCCAGATTACCGGCCTGGGCAGGGTCTGCAACACATATCAAGCCCTGATCTTAGGTTTTACAATAGTGATGTGATGTTACCCGCAGGAGCAATTTGGGAAGGTTCAGACTTTTGGAGCCGGAGACTGCATGACCCCTAAACTGTAAATGCTAATCTTGAAGCTAATACGTTAGTCCAGCAAAGGCAGACTACTCCCCTGGCAAGGAGGGGTTCTTTTCAGGAAAGGGCTGTTACCAATTTGCTTTCAGAGTCAAACTGTGAACTAAATTCCTTCCCAAAGTTAGTTCAGCTTACACCAAGGAATGAACAAGGACAGCTTACGGGTTAGAAGCAAGATAGAGAGTTGGTTATCTCTGATTTCTTTCTTTTTTTTTTTTTTTTTTTGGAGACGGAGTCTCGCTCTATCACCCAGGCTGGAGTGCAGTGGCCGGATCTCGGCTCACTGCAAGCTCCGCCTCCCGGGTTTACGCCATTCTCCCGCCTCAGCCTCCTGAGTAGCCGGGACTACAGGCGCCCGCCACCTCGCCCGGCTAGTTTTTTGTATTTTTTAGTAGAGACGGGGTTTCACCGTGTTAGCCAGGATGGTCTCGATCTCCTGACCTCGTGATCCACCTGTCTCGGCCTCCCAAAGTGCTGGGATTACAGGCTTGAGCCACCGCGCCCGGCCTCTCTGATTTCTTTTACTGTCATAATTTCCTTAATTATAATTTTGTAAAGGCGGTTTCAGTACTTCCATCAATGTGCCTAATAGATTTTTATATGTATTTGTGTGTTGTGTACAGAATGTTCCAGTACTAAAAATACATAAAAGAGCTCTAATTGGCTTAAAGAAAAATAAAAACGCTTAATTAAGTTAGATACTAAAAAAGACTAGTCCAATGCTTTTTCAACTTTATGTAACTTAAGTGAAATCTTTAATAAATAAGCTAGCTTTAAAATTATTGGTAAAATAATATTAGAAATGTCTTAAGAATTGGCAGCATACATTTTTGTTTACATTTAGTAATAAACCAATTTCAAACGTATTCCTGCCAAATACTATAAGGTGTCAAAATTTGGTATTGGGGTTTCAAAACTATAAACCCAGCCCAAAACAGAATGATCTTTGAGTAATTTTTAATAAGACGTTGATATGGGTTTAATAAAAATAGCTGCATGTTGAATTTAGTAAGATTACTAGCACTTCTAGTCCTGTGGTGAAAATAGATTTAGAAACTTAGAAGCCTTTAGAAACTTAGAAACCTTTAGACTTTTAGACTTAGAAACTTATAGACTTAGAAACTTAGAGACTTAGAAACTTAGAAGCTTAGAAACTTATAGACTTAGAAGCTTAGAAACTTATAGACTTAGAAGCTCAGAGACTTAGAGACTTAGAAACTTAGAAGCTTAGAAAAGCCACACCAGGTGGCTATCTAAAAGCACCCACCCAACAACCAGGTGGCCATCTAAAGCACCCGCCTGATGTCCGTGTGGCTATCTAAAACACCCACCCATATTCCTGGAACTCAAACAGAAGAACAAGTCCGGGGAATACCCCGCGCGGGTTCAAACCAGGTTCAAACCAACCAATTAGAGTAAGACATCTTGCTCAGGCCATAACCTGCTCCAATCATCTTGCGCCTCAAGCTTTGTGAATTTTTGAGGTTTTTGCCTTTATAAACTGTCTGTAACAAGCATTTGGGGTCCTGTGGCCAACTTCGGACATAGGACCCTAGCGCGCTAGCAATAAATCTCTCCGCTGTGACTTCCGTGTCGAGTGGTCTCTCGCGGCGACCCCTGCCCAGGAAGGAATCTAAAAACTAGGTTCCTACAGTGGCTTTTGGTTGTCTAGTCCACAGACAATAAGGAAAGGACTGCTACTGCCTTTGTTTCAAAGCTAAATTAGAAACCAGGTTCCTCCCAGTGTTAGTGCAGCCTATGGCCAGGAATGGACAAGGACAGCTTGGAGATTATGAGCAAGATGGAGCCAGTTAGGTAAAATCTTTTTTTCACTGTCTCAGTTATAATTTTGCATTGGTGGTTTTATAACTTTAAATCATGACTATCACAGATTTCATAAATCAAGGTAAACAGGTAAATATAATGGGATAAATACTTGTAGACAAACTGGTCATGATTTAGAATATAAAGTTAAATTAAATAATAGATATTTCATTATTTGAGTATTTTCCAATACACATATCTTGTAGGAAAACATTCTTGCCAAAAGAAGTGTGTCTTTTCTAAAAAGAAGAAGAAAAAAGAAAAGATCAACAAGTTTTGTCTAATTCAAACCTTACATTATATATAAAACAAGGTAAAATGAACCAGGGAATAAAAAACAGATGTAAAGAAAGTTGTCAAGAGGTTGTTTTTGAGGTAAAAAGAGGTTAAAGAGAGATACTATTGTATAAGAAAGATTCCTATATAGTAAGTTTAGTCCTAAAATAACTGGTTGTTTAAAAAGAAGGGATGTTCAGAACACATCAGAAAGTCTGACCATGTAATGAACAGTCAGTGTAAGCCACAACAAGGATTTATGTATTTAAAATCCCCAAAATTTTTATATAATAAAGTTGTCATATTAAGTTTTGGTTTGCTTAGGAAAAACTGAGATTTTTAAAAATCTAGGTTATTACGTCTGTGTATCTTCCTGTATATGCTTTCAAAATCCTTGCAACATTGAGTTACAGGCTTTTACCTCCTAGGTCTAAAAAGGACACTAAGTCCTGCTAAATTTTAAACACTCACAGCAATTAAAGCCTCATTTTCAGGACCCATAGAAGATGCCAATTTAAATAAACTGCTGCCTTCCTGAGATACAGGGCAAGAAATGATGAAAGCTGTTCAACTCCTCGAGACCCAGAGACCAGTGAAAGAGGTAGGAGCGTAAGATTGTAAGCGCCGATTTTGAAAGGTAAGGTAAGTTCAGTTTCTCTGTACATTAATTACTAATGTCAAAGGCACACTGATGCAAAACCAGTGCACGGACCCCTGTGTCAGATGAACAAGGTTTTCTTGAAGCATTAACCAGCTCCTTATTACAGGTTACAAAAGGCTTATGGAAGTTATATTTTATAATCAGGATTACATTTTATAGATTGTTTACAAAAATTTTAAAACCAAATTGAATTGACTTTATGCTGTTTTTATTATGGCCTCTTGTTTAGAAAATTAAGTCTCCTGTCTCAAAAAATGAAGGTTTTCACTTTTTAAAAAATCCTTGAATTATCACTTTGGTTAAATAAATGACTTTACAATGACCTGTAATCCTATTTTTTAATATCAAGTGTTTTAAATATTTTATATTTGACAGACTTTCCAAAATCAAATTATATATTATGTCTTTTTCTATCCTGAATAATCCTTTAAGACATTAGGTTCTCTAAAGTCTAAAAATAGCATAATTTGGCTTATCTGGTATAAAATTTATACAGGAGACACTGTCAAATATGAGATGGTGTTTGGCTTTCTTTCGGATCCATTTGTATAAATACGTTATTGGTATGTTTCCAAAATGATGGGAAACTCCTGTAATTCTGATACAACTTAGTGTACATTGTTTGTAATAATCATAATTGTTATGTTAAAATTATTGTGTGCCTCAGAGGTAATAAATTCACTTGTCAGTTGTGTCTTTTAACTATGGCTGCCTTAACTTTTTTTTCATCCACAGATAGTTGTCTTCTTTTAAACCCTCTTTGTAAGGTGGGTTTATAATCAGCTATAGGACTCTAATAGGTGCACTTAAGTTCAGGTTTTCTGATAATTTTGGAAATTGTTACATTGGAATAAAGCAAAAGATTTCGGAACTCTCATGGAGAGCTGAAATGTTCATGACTATCAAACAGAACAGGAGTTAACTGAAATAACTGAGTCAATAGAACACTGAAGTAATTTTTTTTGACTTTTCGCTTAAAACATTGCTGATCCTTTGTTTTTCAGAGTTAAGAAACTTTTAAAGTTATTTACAGCTTTTAACAATAAATTATTGTATATTCCTGTGCACAAAATTTGGAGCGTATTTGTTGCTCTCTACCTAATTTCTCCAGAATTTGGAGACTGTGAGTATTGTAAATTTATGGCAATATAGTTATTTGCATAAGTGCAATAAAAATCTGTTTTATTTTGCAGTAAGACACAGTTGGAGAATTTGGTTATTTTATCAAGGGTTGGACTGAAATGGTGTGCTTTCCTTTAAGGAATCAGACTTAGGAAGCCAATAAAGCCCTTCGAAAAGCTGACCTCATATTTTGTGTGCGCAGTCCCTGCATAGGGTTTTGACCTGTGGTAAATAATGTCACTTGCTGACAGGTGCAGAAGCCCCGGTTTATCTTGGAACCTCAAGAGAAGAGGAAATTCACTGAAATCATAGGTATTCGATGGCACAAATCCATGGTTGGGCTTGGCTTTAAAAAAGTCTTATCTAAGATTCCTCCTATGGAGCAAAGTTCTGTCAAAGCCAATTTAAAAGCCCAGGTAAAAAATAATTATTGTTGCACTGTATGCAAATTATTAGGCCAAGTATAATAAAGCAAATCAATTCTAACATGATTTATCTTTAGTAAAAATGGAAAACTGGAGGGAAAAAATTATGTTTCAAAACTACAGTAGACCTGTTTTTAGATTCTAGTCTTGCCTAATTTTTTTTTCAACTTTTATTATTTTCTACAGTTTGGACCGAATTCTAAGTTTTCTTGGCTACAAGTCTTTAAAATAGTGTGTTCAATTTTTTTTTTCAATTAGTCCTAAACTAAGCTATGCTTTCTTAAAACCCTGAGAACTGAAGCCAAACAACTTAAACTTCAGAAGAAAATAACAGCAACTTGTTTATATACATAAGCCACTTTCATACCTGCCTACTGATGTATGGACTGCAGAGTAATGTGGCTTATGTTTATTTTTCCAGGATTGTTCTTTTGTTGTTTTTTCTCCCTTCCTCCCGCCTGTTTTAACTTCACAGGATGTGAGACTTCACAACCTGCTAAAAATGAGCTTTTGGCAGCTTTCTAGGAATAAACCCTCCTAGCCATGAGAGATCAGATGAAACCCGAGACCAGAGACTCATTTTCTTGTAAAATGCTTTTTCCAAAAGATTTTTTTTAACAAGAAAAGGGGGGAAATGTGAAAGGAAAAGATCTTGGGCCCCTAAAATCACAAAGGAAAACTCAGGCTGGAAACTGCTTAGGGCCAGCCTGCCTCCCATTCTATTCAAAGTCACCCCTCTGCTCACTGAGATAGATGTGTGTCTGATTGGCTCCTTTGGAGAATCATCAGAAACTCAAGAGAATGTAATCATTTGTGTATCACTGATCTGTGACCTGGAAGCTCCCTCCCTGCTTCCAGTCTTCCTGTGTTTGCTTCAAGTTGTCACACCTTTCTAGACCAAAGCAATGTACTTCTTAACATATATTGATTGATGTCTCATGTCTCCCTAAAATGTGTAAAACCAAGCTGTGCCCTGACCGCCTTGGGCACATGTTGTCATGACCCTGAGACTGGGTCATGAGTGTGTCCTCAATCTTGGCAAAATAAACTTTCTAAATTAACTGAGACCTTCTTTTGAGTTTGCTGCTGGGCATCCTTATATTCATTGGCCTCTCTGTTAATGCCTATCGCGAATTGCTTGGGTAACTAAAGCTTTCGGAAGTAATTTAAAATGGAAGAGTGTGATTCTACTCTAGACTTTGTATGTGTAGGAACTGCTTTGGGAATGCGTGACACTTCATTGTCCTACGGGATTTTTAGTAGTGTGTTGTGATCCTGTTTGGAAAACAAAAATATCACATGGTCTGTGTTTTTACATAAAGGGTGCAAGGGACCTTTTTACATGAATCAATGAAACTGCAGGACCTAGCATCTCTGTTTCATGCTACAGTGAGGATTTCTTGATGGAGAGAGCATTCTGAATACTTTTCAGCAATATCGAATGTTATGCTTCAATATTGTTAAGCCTAGTCACCCTGCTGTGCCGTAGAACACCAGAGTACCTGCATGTCATCTGAGCATCCCTTTGTAGCCATTTCCAATTCTCCCCTCAGCCTCTGGTACCCACTGTTGACACTGTTGTTCTATGAGATTCACTGTTAGATTCCATGTGCATGAGATTATGCAGTATTTGTGTTTGTCTTCCTCTCCCTCTCTCATTTTTTAAATTTAATGTCCTCCAGGTTTCTCCATCTTGCTGGTAGTGAACTGATGTCCAGAATTTTGATGGCTGAAGAGTATACCATTGTGCATAAATCCTTCAATTCCTGCATTTTTTCAGCTGTGGAAAGACAAGTGGGTTGATTCTACACCTTGGTTATTGTCCAGAGTACTTCATGAAACACGGGAAGGGAGATCCCTCCTTAAGGTAGGTTTCCTTGGCTTTGCGGGTGTAGCCAGTGTTGGGATGGCTAGAGGAACTGGTAGTTGTGGTGGTGTTTCAGAAACCTCCAGCTGTCTCTCCCAGTGAGTATAAGAATTTGCATTCTCACTAGTAGTACGTAGGAGTTCCTCTGTCAGCAAATCTACACTGCCCTTATCTTCACAAAGTTTTACTGCTGTTCCTGGTCATACTCGTTCTCTGGGGAGTTTGATAGTATCTGAGTGTGGTTGAGATTTACAATTTGGGGGATGATTACTGATATGGAGAAACTTTTCTGTTACCCGAGAGTCTGTTTCAGGTTTTTTCAGAAATGCCTACGCCAGTCCTCTGGGCGTTTTTAGCGTGTGTATTGGTTTTTATGTTTTTGTCCACTTAGGACCATTAGTTTCTTGAATATGTTAGGTAAGAAGCCCTTCCAGATCACAGTTTTCCATAATTTTCTTCCAGTCTGCAGGATGCCTTTTATTTGGGTTCTCTATTTTCTCTCCTTTGTTGAAGCTGTGTGAAGCTCTGAAGTTGTCCTTAGTCTCACATGGTTGCATTAGCTTTTGTTAGCAGTGATTTCTGTGTCCCTTTGAGAAGAAAAGCAAGATGGTGAAGCCATTGTATGGTCTATGGGTATTTGGTTCCTATGTCTTCCTTTTCTGTTTGTAGCTTAGGTTCACAGGTTCAAGTTTCCCCACAGTGGACATGCACCCTGTGCGTTTTCCTTGGAGATTTTTGGTTTCAGAATTGCAGTTAGGTGTTCAGTGGATTTCGTGTCGCTTTTTGTGTCTTGTGTAGAGGAAGGGTTTATTTCAGTCCTTTGCATGTGACCCCCCAGTTTCCTCAACCATTGCGCCTTTGGTGTGCTTTTGGGGGAAAACAAGAATCCCATGGGTTCAGTGTTCATAATTTTGGGTTCATTATTTGGCTCCTTCATTGTGTCCATCCGGTTGTCTTTCTGTGTTCATGCTGCTAATGGGTGGATTGGGCTTTTTGTTTTGTGTGTTTTCTTCCTTTTTTCTATTTCTATTTCTAAAGCTGGGTTTTCTAAAATGATAGCTACTTTTATTGTGATCGAGGGGTACACCTGCAGATTCAGTTCCCTACATGGTTATGCGGTAGAATTTTGATGCTTGGGGTCCTAACGTACCCGTCACCCAGGTAGTGAACATAACACCAGTTGGGTCTTTCTTCCTCCAAGGCTCCCTGTCTCCCTTCTTTTTTTGTCTGGTATACCCAGCATCTGTTGATTTCATGTCTATGTTGATGTGTATTGGGTGTTGAGCTTCCACTTACATATGAGAACCTCAGTGTTTGATCTTCTGTTCTTGCCTCAGTTGCTTAGCAGAGTGGCCTCCAGTTCCACCCATGTTCCTACTGAGGGCATGATTTTGTTTCTGTGTTTGATTTTCCTTAGTGGCTTTTTAGCATTCTGTGATGTATAGGTACCACGTTTTTAAAAAGCAGATTTTCTGTTGGTGTGCATCTAGGTCAGTTCCACGTCTTTATTCCTGTCAGTAACACTCCTGTGGACATGTGAGTGTCAGTGTCTCTTTGATAGATGCATGTATTTTTCCCTTGGGTAGATGCACGGGGTGGGATTGCTGGGTCAAAGCGTAAGCTCTGCTTTCTATCCTTTTTTTTCCCAGAAATCTTCAGATTGGTTTCCACAGTTTGAGATCTAGTTTGCATTACCTCCAAGAGAATAGCCGTGTTTGATTTTCTCTGCTGCAACAACAGCATGTTATGTTTTGACAGGACAAATGGCCACTCTGACCAGTGTGTGATGGCACTGGTACCTCATCTCTGATAATTAGTGATCTGGAGCATCCCCCAGGCCTGTTGGAATAGCAATCCCTTGGAAATGTCTTCTCAGTTACTACCCATATGTATGTTGCTCAGGCCACTGTGTGGCCCCAGCACTGTTGGTTTGCACTGGGACTTGGGGATTGTTTGTCATTGTTACCCAGGACAAATGTTACACTGCGCTTCCTACAGTGAGTAGTGGGAGTGGCGTATGGGGACATATGCTTATGCCCACAGTTCCGTCAGAAATCCCACTGCCTTAAAACAGTCTCACGGCAACCCAGTCCCAGCCTTGCAGCACCGGGTAGTCCTGTGGCATTTTGACATTGGGTGTGTCTGCATTGTTAAAGTCACTCAGCACGTTGCCATGCATTTATCCACTTCGGTCAATGTTAAGGGAAGTTCATCGCCTCTGCTTCTTCAGTAACTGTCTGGTGCATCAACTGAATGCATTTCAGGCTTATAAGGAGTTCACCTGGATCTATGGGTAAAAAAGCTTTTCACCATGCCCCACCACCCCAGTGAGTGACCAGTGTCTCATTATTAATGCGTCTGATGGCACACAGTTTTAGTGGTCTGAGGGAGGTCAGTCGCCTAGCAGAGACTGAAATCACGTTTGTATTTACGTTATTACTTTGCTACAGCTTGGTTTCTTGCAGGGTTTCTCACTATTTAGTCTGGACTGAATCTTTGAATTACTTTACTTTGTCTACCAACTATTTCAAAGAACGTGATAAACTTGTTCTAATTAGCCAACATATTCATCCATAATGTCCGTATACCAGGTCTAATAATAAAACATTTCTTAATGCACACAGGGCATGGAAGACAGTCTACACATTTTCAAGTGTAGACTTTGCCTGTGACTCTTTTGTGAGGAATAGTCATTACTACTTTAGGAAAACCCTGAGTTTATCCAACTCTTGTTAGAATTGGATAAGTGTGAATCCCTACAATAGAATGCAAGTGTGAGAGCCAAGTCTTCTGGTAAAATAAACTCATATTATTATTTATATATGTCTGGTCATTGTATTAATAAAATCAGTTTGTTTTGGCTGAAATACACGGTTGGACTTTACAATAGATGTGAAAATGGGATTATAGATCATTGCTCTTAAGTGTGAATATTAGGTTGTGTTTATTTGCCAAACTCAATAGCGTCTAAGGAGTGAATTTCCTGTGCATTGCTGTTCTCCAAGTACAAGCAGTCACTTCAGTTTTACCACATTCACCTTTCACACGATATGGAGACAGCAGGAATTGAAGTGGAACCAGAGGGAGTAGCTAGGACAGACATTCCGATTCATTCATTTTGATTCTCACTGTTGTCAGACAAGTGAGTAAAGGTTCACTGAATTTTCCTTTCGACGAGTAAAATGGACAGTTTCTCAGTGCAGTGGCTTTAGTTTTGGAAGAGCAGCCATGAAGACTTTACTACTGGTTAGTGAAGTCTAAACTGGTTTCTGTGTCTTCTTTTTATTTATTTATTTATTTATTTATTTATTTATGAGACGGAGTCTCGCTCTGTCGCCCGGGCTGGAGTGCAGTGGCCGGATCTCGGCTCACTGCAAGCTCCGCCTCCCGGGTTCCCGCCATTCTCCTGCCTCAGCCTCCCGAGTAGCCGGGACTATAGGCGCCGCCACCTCGCCCGGCTAGTTTTTTGTATTTTTAGTAGAGACTGGGTTTCACCGTGTTCGCCAGGATGGTCTCGATCTCCTGACCTCATGATCCGCCCGTCTCGGCCTCCCAAAGTGCTGGGATTACAGGCTTGAGCCACCACGCCCGGCCTCTGTGTCTTCTTTTTAAATTCAGCTTTTATTTTAGATTGAATAAAAATGTGCAGGTTTATTGTGTGATACTGGGTTTGGGGTACGATTGAAGCCATCACTAAGGTAGTGAGCATCTCACCTTCTCCTTCTCTTCACTCTATTACGGAGAACAGACCCTCCCAGTCTTCAGTGCCCTCTAAATACTGGCTAATTCTGGCCAATGGAAGGCATCTGTGGAAGAAAAAAAGCCTCCGGTCATGTGGTATCTGTCTTTATTCTCTGTGACATATTAGGTAATGGTCACAGCCACTCACCATGGCCGTTTTTAATAATGACCCTGCTTTTGTGTTCCAGTAACTGCTGTTGTTTTCCCAATCCTAAATATGATAGAAACTTCCTGCTGCTGCTAATCTCTGGGTTCCATTTAAAATCCTTCCGTCACATGAACACTATGTGCTGTACTAAATTTTTCCATAATTAAATACCTAGAATTATTTTTGCCTACTTACTTCAGCCCTTAGTGATATGTTTTAAAAACGCTTATTTTTTTTTTTTTTTTTTTTGAGATGGAGTCTCGCTCTGTCTCCCAGGCTGGAGTGCAGTGGCGCGATCTCCGCTGACTGCAAGCTCTGTCGCTTCCTGGGTTCACGCCATTCTCCTGCCTCAGCCTCCCGAGAAGCTGGGACTACAGGTGCCCGCCACCACGCCTGGCTAATTTTTCTGTATTTTTAGTAGAGATGGAGTTTCACTGTGTTCGCCAGGGTGGTCTCGATCTCCTGACCTTGTGATCCGCACGCCTCGGCCTCCCAAGGTGCTGGGATTACAGGCGTGAGCCACTGCGCCCGGCCAAAAACACTTACAATGTGTTACAATATATTTAGCAAATGTAGGGAATGACATTTTTACTTCCGTCAGCATTTACACTAGCATTTATGTAGTAATGCTATCTCAAGTATTTTTAGTCATTTAAACATTATCTAATAGATCACGCTTTTGATTCGTTTCTATGTAAATATACTTGAGATATTCAGTAAATAGTACTTAATACATATTTCTTTTATGTAATATAAAATTATGATTTTTTTTTAAACAGTGCGTCATATTTACTTGTTGGCTTTTTGATAACTTAGAAATAATATTCTGGATTAACTGTGACTCATGAGAGTTGGTGCAACTATGATGTTTCCAAATTTACTTGATTTTCAAGACTTACACTAGAACTGTGAGAACAAGATATTAAGCATATGTATTAATATCACCTTTGGTCAACTCTTGTGTGGCCCCAGTGGTAGTGTAGGAATTAACATAATTTTTCCTACTAAAAGTATTGGATTTGTTTTGAGAGACCACAGTTTAAAGTCATTGTCATACAAAGTTGTTGGATTAAAAATTTTTAATACATTTGAAGTGGTTTTATAGAAAAAT